CCTGCGGGCCGGGACTGGAGTCTCCTGCTGGTGGCCCCAGGCCTTCCTTGCCTTGTAGGCCCATCACCCCACCCCCGCCGTCCTCTCTTGTTGGGCACCGGGCACAGTGGATTAGGGGCCTGCCTCCTGCAGCGTGACCCATCGTAACTAGTTACATCTGTCACGACCCTATTTGTAAGTGAGGGCCTGCTCTGAAGTACGGGAGTTAGGGCTTCATCTGTTCCAGGAGACACCGTTGAACCCGTAACTGCTAAGGCCTGTGAGGCTATCCAGGGAATGAATTCCAAGGCAAGTCTTTGTCTTATACACATAAACATTAGTTACTTGCCTTCCTACCACCGAGATGTGGATAAACTGGAGCTAAGTTCAGGAGGAATCTAAATAGTTAAAATTAAGCACTGTTGGAAACAAAGGTGTGTGACAAAAATCCCCAGACAATGCCTTAAAACTTAAGGTTTTTTAAACAGATCCCAGGGTTTATGTCATGGCTTGATTTCTTGTTGCCCAAAAGATTTGGATTTCCTGCATGGAAATTGCTCTTAAAGTTCTGTAGTACTTGCGTGTTAATTTACAGATGTTACAATAAATCTTTCTCTTGGTGTGAATTTTTTTCTAACCTAAAAGTGATTTGGAATTCAGTTTAGTGAATTCCTTAGTAACCCAACTGAGTAACGGTCCTATTGGTAAATAGGTAGCCATGGTTAAAATGACACGTATTTCTGTGTGGTTTAGAAATGGATTTTGAGAACAGTTCCGAAACAGATCAAGTGTTTTTTAATTTTACTCCCTAGATAACTAGAACTATAGTTTTAAAGCAAACTGATTATGATTTTTAAAAATATATATTGTGCTGAACATCAGAGTGTGCTTGTCCATGAAACTTGTCTCCCTCAAACTAGTCTTTGTTCCTATAGCAGGGGTATTGCTGAATGCAGTCAAAAACTAGTCATGGGTAGATGTTAGTTACTAAATTTAGATCTTCATTTGGACTTAAGTTATGTTGGTAATGTGTGAATTCATGTTGGAATAAGTGTGGTTTTTTTCTAAAGTTGCTTTACATGTACATTACGTTCCATTTTATTTCACACCAGTCCTCAATTTTCTCAGGAGTGTTTTGATGGAGAGCATAGATCTCTCAGGATCTATAATTGTAAATGGGTTTAAATCACAGGACTTGGTATTTATTTCCAAATGCATATGTCTTTGAAAATCTATAAATCATAAATTACAGTGGCCATGAATCTAAGGAATATGTAAGTGGGTAGTTCTTCTCTGTATTTGATCATACCAGGAAAATTTCAAGAAAGTTGTTAAAATGTTTCTGCCCTTGGAAAATATCCTGTGTTGTCTAAAGGATGATAACTTGGTGTTTATTTTTCCAGACATGTCTTTTACGATAATTAATTTCTGTACAAGGCCCTACAAGTTGTATAGCATATGTCTTGCCTGCTATCGACTAATGCTGGCCTCTACCTGTTGTAAACGTGTAAACGTGCATCTTCATGCACACACGCTCCATTCTGTCTCTACGCATACTGAAAGGGCAGTCCTCCTCAGGGAGTGTCTTCTCCAGAAACTTCTCCCCAGCTGCACACGCCTTCTTTCTTAGCTCCCAGCAGTAGCCAGGTTTGGAAGAGCCTGCTCTGGTTGAATTCTTGGGGACACTCACGCCTGCGAACAATCAGTTCCTTAGGATCGTGTGGTTAGTCGTAGAGGATGGCCGGCCTGCCCCCTGCACCGCTCAGGAGAGTCTTCTCTTGCACACCACAGGCCTTGTACACAGCACGGCCCTCTTCGGTGTGCAAGGCTGAATCTTGGGAAATTGTCCGTTTTAACCCACAGAAGCTCTATTTTCATACGACTCAACTGAATAGCGTGACATAAGTGTTACGAGCTAAGCTCTGGAATCAGACTTCCGTATTGACCTGACCCTTTCACTTTCTGGGGACCTTGGCACGTGACTGGAATGTCCTCAGGCCGCCTCTTCGTATCTACAGAGAAACCAGAACCTGCTCCTCCCACACCGTAGGCCGCTTTTGAGAGTGAGAAGGGCGTAACCTGTGGGAAGACCGGCAGGCTCTTCAGAAATGTCAGCTCCCTCTGCTGGGACAAGCATGGTTGCTTGTGTTTGCTGTTATTTTTCTTATTGACATAGACAGTCTGACCAAGCATGGAGTAAAAAGGCCTTGTGCAACAAGAAATGCACTGGGCTGTTCTATGCCAGCATCACCAGATCAGCGGGATGGGTGTAAAAATGCTCTGAATATTTTGTATGATTCAAGGTGCCCGGAGACCTCCATGGCGCGGGTCCCTGGGCACAAGAGGAAGTTATCTGAGAGTCTGAATTCAGACCCGCGCTTTCAGTAGCCAGTCTGCCTTCGGACGACAGTGGGAAAGGCGACATCTTTCACCCTGACACCTGTCGCTTTCGCCCTGGGTCGCTTTAGTACTTGGTTCATGTATGTGAACTACTCTTCCTCCGTTACTAGTAATGCCTTCTCTTTTATGCAAGTTGGAAATTTACTCATTTTTAAGATAATTTTCGAAGGAGTGATGTGCACTTAAGAGGAAATGCAGAAGTTGTTTATAAATGGAATAGGTAAAGATATTTCCATTTAGGGCGGGAGACAAAGAATGGCATAAACACATCATTGTGGACATTTTCTCCTTCAGAAGTTGGCCATGCTATGAGCTGGGGGTGAACTGTTAGGTCCTGGAGTTACTCTCCCCCTCATGCACTTGGACACAGAGACACAGATTTGTGTATGTTCACGTGACATTTTGCTATTTAAAATAGCTTATCAATGTTTTATTTCACCAAAGAGACCTCTTCTCTTTCCTTTTTTTTTTTTTTCTAGAAGGCCAGTAATGATGCTAGTCAGAGTGACACGAGTGTCTCCTCGTCAGAACCAAAGAGCAAAAGCGGTCTCCATTTGCTGGCCCACGAAACAAAAATTGGATCTTTCTTAAGTAACAAAAGTCTAGATGTCAAAGACAAAGCTGGTCTTTGTCCAGATGAAGATGATATGGAAGGGGATTCTTTCTTTGATGATCCCATTCCTAAACCAGAAAAAACTTACGGTTGGTGAGTAAACTCTTTTTGGATTATCAAACTAGGGCCTTAAAAATACAATTTCTAAATATTTTATATTTAAAAAATGAGCTACTAAAGCTTCTGTAATTATTGAATATGTAAGTCTGATTTTCTGTCCTTAAAGCCTTTTATGTTGTAAAATAATTCCGGCTGGTAAAAAGTGTAGATAGTCATAATTTCTGTAGGGAATTGTAGACTGAGTGCCTGTCACGTGCCAGGTGCTGTTTCAGGCACAAGCTGTGCGGTCAGAACACAGGCAGAGCCCCAGCCTTCAGAAGCTTACAGTCCTGTGGACAGAGGCAACTAGAAGTGAGAACCCCCACATGCCGTCTTGGGTGGATGCAGCCAGAGCAACGGGTCGGAGCAGGGGTGGGGGCGGTGAGTGTGTGGAGGTGCGTGCTGTTCTGTTACAGCGTTGGGTCAGGGAGGGCCTCCCTTCGAGGGGCTGGGTGAGCAAAGAGCCCAAGTTTGTGAGAGAGTCAGCCCGGCGGACACCAGATACCGGAGCTCCACGCAGCGCAGGCAGAGGTGAGCGACAGGTCAGAGAACGGCTAGGGGTGGTTGTGGAGACGGACGGGGTCGGGGCAGCGCTGACTCCAGCAGGAGGGGGCTTTACCCTGAGGGGCACTGGGGGCCCCAGGGACTGAGCAGCGGAGTGACGAGCTCACTGGGCTGCTGGGTCTCCAGCTGGGAAGCTGTCAGGATTCTCCAGGTGAAAAGATGGCAAAAGTGGTGAGAAATAGGTGGTTTGGGGATGTCTTTTGAGGTTCGCTCCAAAAGGATTTATTGCTAAGTGTTAGAGAATAAAGTGACATCAAGGGAAATTCAGGGTTTTCAGCTGAGTAACCAGAAGGTGGAAAACACCACTGACAGGTGAAGCATGGAGAGCAAGGTTGGGCTGCACAGGTGGGCCAGGTGACAGTCTGGAACTCACTTCTGATGGGTCAGGTGTGGGAAGGTTGCTAATGCACAGGTGAAGCCGGCTGCAGGGAAGGGGTCTGGGCATGAGGGGAGAGGTGTCCGTGTTTGATCCTGCTGCCGGTGTAGCCTGGGGGTGGTCACCCGGGAAGTGAGTGGCACCTGGAGGTGAGCGAGGGGAGGAGGGAGGAGGAAGAGGGAAGGGGACCGAGAGGACCCAGGAGAGAGGTGTTCTGGAAGGAGGAGGCCAGAGTGAGTCCTTGAGCTAAGTTGTGAAAGCCAGGGCGCACAGCTTGGAGGCAGGGATGATGGGATTCTGGGCTTGGGGGGGGGGGGGGGGGGGGGGGGGGGGTAGGGGCAGGGTATCAAAGGATTAGAGTGGGTTTAGGAAAGGATGGGGGGAGGATTGTAGGTGGGGAGTGCTTTCCTGGTGAGTTGTGGTGTTCAGGGGTGCGGAGGAGCAGGGTGGGGAAGAATAGCGGGAAATGACCGTGTGCATGTCTGTTGAGAACAGTCCTGCATTAGAGAGGAGATGGAGTGATGTGCAAGGGGGTGCTGGGTGCTTGGGGGCACAGGGCAGCCCCTTGAGGAGGCTGTCTCCTGGAAGGAGGGAGGTGTGGGCGCACTTTGTGGGCAGGTGGGGGCGGTGTGCGGGCAGCAGCCTGGGAAGGTTCCCACCTGAGGGGGCGGTGCACGGCAGGGTTGGAGAGGAGGCCTCAGAGAGGTAGGAAGTGGCGGGAGGGGGTGCGCAGGGGGGCTGAGCTCAGGGCTGTTGGGGAGGTCAGCTGGCGGGGCTGTGCGGGACACCTGTGCTGTCCCCTGCCTGCATTGCTGGGCACTGGAAGGGGCTTCTGATAAAAGTCACGGACACTGAAGATGACAAACAGCGATATCATTTGAGAGCTGAGCGGATTTCTCACTGATAACGTGCCCCGTGGATTTGTGATGACACTCAGCCTGCCTCGCCTTGTAGGTATTCTTGATGGTTTTGAGTCCACGTAACGTATAACCTGTCTTTCCCAGCACCCTGTGCTGCACGTACAGTGTCTTCACGTTGTTTATGTCTTAGTGGCAGAACGTAAGCGTGACCTTTAACTATACACTTGTTTCTTGTTAGGAGAAGTGAACCTGGTAAGCAAGCAGGAAGCCTTGCATCACTCTCTGACGCGCCCCCCTTGAAAAGTGGACTCAGCTCCCTTACCGGAGCCCCCTCATTGAAAGACTCTGAAAGTGAGTGCCTGGAAGCCCCCGGGTCTCCGTACTGAAGACACGGACTTGGAGGACTCAGGATGTGTTTTCTCTTAAATGCTATGTGGTCACTGTTTATTGTTTAGGAAAAGCCCATGATTTTACCAGTGGTAGTTCCTGTTCTTTGCTCTTTAACAAGGTTGTGTTCGCCTCATCGTCTGCCTTCTGTTTTTCCTGTGCCATCAAAATACTTTTTTTAGGAAAGTGACTTTTTAGCTGCCTTATATAGTAAACATCTTTAAATCATTTCTCTCTTGTTGGACATTTAGACTGACTTGAGTAGGATTTAAATTCAGTTCTTAAGAACTTGTTTTCTAGATTCTGTGATACCACAGTAATCATCATGTGAATGTTAAAATATTCGTCCTTTAGCTATTGGATCTGTCATAATCGTTTTTTTTCTACTTTGGATATTGGCATCACTTTCTTTTTCTTTTTTCTTTTTAATTTTATTATGTTATTGTTAGTCACCATACATTACATCATTAGTCTTTGCTGTGGTGATCCACGATCCGTTGTTTGCGTATAACACCCAGTGCTCCACGCAGAACGTGCCCTCCTTAATACCCATCCCCAGGCTAACCCATCCCCCCACCCCCCTCCCCTCTAGAACCCTCAGTTTGTTTCTCAGAGTCCATCGTCTCTCATGGTTCGTCTCCCCCTCCGATTTCCCCCCCTTCATTCTTCCCCTCCTGCTATCTTCTTCTTCTTCTTCTTCTTTTTTTTTTTAACATACAATGTTTGTTTCAGAGGTACAGGTATGTTTGATTTTTTTAAAATATTTTTTCATCATGATGAGTGTATGTTTTAATCCCCATCACCTGTTTCTTAAATTCCACATTCCAGTGAAGTCATACGGTATTTGTCTTTCTTTGACTGACTTCACTCAGTATTATACTCTGTAGCTCTATTTATGTTGTGCAGATGGCGAGATTTCATTCTTTGGGGTATGAATCTAACATGTTTACGTGTAGCAGAGAGGTGGGGTGTCAGGCAGACATGGAATGGCCATACGACTACAGTTTACTTCCTACCCCCTCCCCACACACAGATGGCACCAAGACCAAGGATTCGAAAGCACAGCCTTAAACGTGGAGATGTGTGCGTGAACTTCATTTACTAGATCATAGTAAATGTAGATTTCATCGACACCGTGTTCACAGCATAAATGTGAGATTTATTGAGAACATTTCCTAAAAAGCAGATCTTTATTAGGAAATTGTGGTGTGAATTTGCATAATTTTGCAGTATTTATTAACCTTTTTACATCACGCGTTGGGGCGGTAGGATTTTCCGGGCCAGGCGAAGGAGGTGATGGGTGGCTGCTTTTAGCCGTCTGGCAAACTTGCCACATGTTTGCTAATGCGTCCCATCAGTTTCCCTGTTGTCCTTTCTCCTGGTCTTTGTCACCTGCAGTGGGAGTCTAGCATGTCATGATCACATCACTCTTAGCACTGATCAGGGAAGAATGATGTGGACATTGAGCACTTGGGCCTGAAGAAGGAAAACCAGTGAGGTCAGTCGCGTAGATGGAATAGCAATTGAATTAGAGCAACGTTGAGAAGTTCAGAGGAAAGTAAAATCGATGAGAGTAATTAACTCCTACCCGGTGAGGCTTGTTACGGATGGTGACGCCGGATAGTTGGGCCAGAAAGTATTTTGATGGTCAGGTTCCAATAGAGACTACGTGTTTACGTGTGGTTACATGTGACCACAGGCATGCAGTGCATGACGCCAGTGTCATCAGAGCTTGTAATTCTTTCTTGGTGTTTGGTTTGGACGTTTTAGTCGTAAACCCTATGCTGAACAAAAGTGGCACAGTTTAGAGATTGTTGTATTCTCAAAAGTCAATTTATGTGAATATTTTTCCTTCACAGGTAAAAGAGGAAACACAGTTTTGAAAGATCTGAAACTGGTCAATGATAAAATTGGATCACTTGGATTAGGTAACTAGATTTCTAATTTTAGCATTGATTGCCCGAAGGTGATTATTTTTTTAGAATAAAATCTAAATTGAAGTGGCTTAGCCTATAGTGAGCACTTCGTAATTAGCTGTTTGGATGGTCTTTGTGAATCCAGAGTTACTCCATGTGCCGGGGGTGGATAAAGCAGCAACCACAACAGACTTTCTTTGTGGAGCTCGGACTCTTGTAGGGAAGATCTGCATCAAACAGGTCCCTACAGATACTTGGGGTTGAGAGTCCGTATGCACTGGTGGGAAAATGGATAGTAGGGTGACTTACCCTAGCCTAGGCATTCCGGAAAGTCCTCACCCAGGAAGTGACTTCTCTGCCAAGACCTGATGGGTCAGGGCCAAGGGGAGCGGTTTCAGCTCAGACTGACGACAGTTTGTGCGGAGGCAGTCACTTTTTTTTTAAGATTTATTTGAGAGAGTGCGTGAGTGGTGGGAGGGGTAGAAGGGGAGGGAAAGAATCTCAAGCAGACTCCACTGAGTGCGGAGCCAGATACGGGGCTCCATTCCGTGACCCTGAGATCATGACCTAAGCCGAAACTGAGTTAGTCGCTCAACTGACGACACCACCCAGGCGTGCCCCCCTCCCCCCAGCGCGCTTCTTCCTGCAGGGATTGGATGTTACAGAAAATAGAAACGACACATCACTTCCTTGTTCTCCTCCACTCCTGCCCCTCCCCCTTTGCACTTTGGTTAAAGTCCTGAGCATGACGTTCTAGGCCTTCGGTGGCCCCTGCCAGCCCTTCTCTTCTTCCCGCCTCTTGTCTCCCCCCTCCCCCCTCCAGACTCATTATTTTAAGGGTGTATTGGTTTCCTCACTGTTTTCCAAACCACTGCACCCTTCCTGAGTCTGGGCCTTTGCATGTGTTTCTTCTTGGAACCTGTGTTCCCCAATAATTTCTGTCTGGTACCTTCTTTAGGTTTCCCCTCAGAGAGCTCTCTCCAGGCCCTCCAACGGCATCTGGTTTGTCTGGCTGTCGGCTGCCTCTTTCCTTCCACTGGTGCTCCTTGAGGCTAGAAACACCACTTCCTCTAGTACTTCAGGGGTCCTAGGAGTCGCACACATATTTGACAAATGGACAAAGTAATCATGGGCTTTATCGGAAGAGGATCATCTTGTCTGACTAGTCTAGAACTTGAATGCCCTCCGGGTGCGTCTGTGTAGACGTGGTCCGGTCTGACACTGGGAAGGACTCAGGAGCATCCAGTGTCCTCCGAGCCCCGCCGGCCGCTGAGCCGGGCCTCCTCCTCATGGTCTGCACTCTGCTTCTGGCAGCCACACACATGCCCGTGTGTCCTCCACGTGCCGGCCATCCCTGGGAGATGGCTCTCGGGGGGCCTTTCCCTGTCCCTCAGGTGATGCAGAGGGGGAGGGGGACTTGGAAGTCTCATAGGTGCTCGTGCTGCATGGTCAGACGCTGCTGACGCTGCTCCGTTCGTCTGCAGCCCTAGCCTCATCCCGTCGCTGTCTGTGGAGAGCAGACTGTGTCCCAGGCTTGGGTCCAGCACTTCGCCTGCATGGATCCTGACGTGAGCCCTGTGTTTGGTGTGGGTTTGGCCGTCTTCACAGCTGAGGAAACGGCCAAGGAGGGTTACCTAGTTCTCCCAGGGGCTGACAGCTCTTCACAGGTGGAGCTGGGATTTGAACCCCGTTGCGTCTCAGTGAGATGCTCCTGTTTGCTTTGCCCTGTTGCCTCTTCACACTTCGTGATCCGTTAAAATTTTATATACTATGCGGAGTTGAAAGTATCAGTAACAGGGACGGGACACCTGGGTGGCTCAGTCGGTTAAGCATTTGCCTTCGGCTCAGGTCATGATCCCAGGTCCTGGGATCGAGCTCCGCATCCGGCTCCCTGCTCGGCGGGGAGCCTGCTTCTCCCTCTGCCAGCTGCTCGTGCTCTATCTCTTTGATATTTCTCGCTCGCTCTCTCGCTCTCTGACAAATAAAAAAACCTTAAAAAAAAAAAAGTGTAACAGTTATGATAACTTGCTCTTATCATGAATATAATATCATTTAATATCAAATGACTTTATAAATGGTAAACATACAATGCAATTAAGCTTTTAGAGACTTGGAATAAAAGACTGGGTATTAACTACATTTTATGACATTGTTTCCTAGGCAGTTTATTTACTTTCATATCACATATGTTAAAAATACTATTTCTGATCCTGGCGACTTCTTTTTTACTGCTGCCATATAATTCGTTAATGTAGTTTTTCCTGAAGGAAATGTACGTGTGTGATCACAGATAAATTGTGGAGCGTGTTGGTATAAACATAACGTATCTTTTCTTGAACTTACCAGGGACTGGAGAAGAAGATGACTACATTGATGATTTTAATAGGTGAGAAACGTAGTTGGGCAACAAATACAGTGTAAACAGTTTCTGACACAGGAAGTAGGACATAATTCCATTTGTGCTCATTTTAGTGTATTAGACTCTCCTGTTGGTACTGAGTGCAGATGGGGAGAAGACAGTTAATCCAGGATTGTACACTGGACTTTGAAGCCTGTTTCGGTTTGGCATTAGAATGTGTTGAACAAATGCATTATGTCCAGGAAACTTGACAAGAATGGGTCAAGCAGAGGCCTCGAGGAAGGGATGCAGAGTCGCTCAAGAGATGTCGGGTCGCCGGGATCCATGTGCTCCCTGCAAACGCGGTGGTGGGGGAGGGGGGAGGCACACACAACTTTAAAAATGGCCCTCTCCAGGTACTGCTCTGAGTCAGATGACATCGCTTAAGACATTGTTTCAGACCACTTTTCTACATACATAAGGACAGTATAATCCAATGAGTTGCCTAATAGTTTGGAAATATTTGTTATGGATACGATTACAAATTTTAAATTAGAGTCTGAGAATTTTATACAATTGACAGGGTTTTTTTCTCCCCCCAATTGGGAATTTATTTTTTAACAGAATAATTTATTGGGCGCCTGGGTGGCTCAGTCGGTTAAGCGACTGCCTTCGGCTCAGGTCATGATCCTGGAGTCCCGGGATCGAGTCCCGCATCGGGCTCCCTGCTCGGCGGGGAGTCTGCTTCTCCCTCTGACCCTCCCCCGTCTCGTGCTTTCTCTCTCTCTCTCATTCTTTCTCTCTCAAATAAAATCTTAAAAAAACCCCAATAATTTATTAGCTTTTTTTTGAGAAGCGGCACGATGTAGTAGATGAAATAGTAAAAATCTGGGTTTGCGTCTTCCTTGACCTTGTGTCCATGGTCACCTTTATGGATCTTCGTTTTCCAGTCTCTTGAAGTGACTCGCCTGTTTGTGGCTCACTAAGTCACTTTAAGGATCAAGTGAGATAATGTGCATGAAATTCATGAGATTTAATATCATTTTATTACATTTTATTTAAATGTTTATATTCAACGTTCTTTTTTCTTTTCTTTCTCAAACTAGTACCAGCCATCGCTCAGAGAAAAGTGAGCTGAGTATTGGTGAAGAGATCGAAGAAGATCTTTCTGTGGACATCGATGACCTCAATACCAGTGATAAAGTACGGTGTGGGCGTTGCCCGAGGAGTGCTGCTCCTGCCTGAGTCTCTTGCGGTGGTGGACTGTAGAGCTTTAACAAAATCCTGGCCCCGGTTCTGGAGTCAGAACTGGCCCACCCAGTGGTGTTAGTCGGCAGAAGCGAGTCGTCCCGTTTGGAGAAGTCAGGCTAGAAATCAGCGCAGGTATAAGAGAGGCCGTGAAGCTGCGTCTCAGTGGGCAGGTCACTCAGCCCGTGGGGGCGGTACACCAGAAGTGGACGCAGGCTGTGCAGTGAGGGGTCCGGCCCCGAGATCCACAGATGGCCTTTTTATGAGGCAGACAGCGGCGTGTACTTCCATGTGTGTCAGGAGAGGTCAGAGAGCCTCTCAGGATCTCCTGTCGTGCCCACGGAAAGCTGTAGCCGGGTCAGGCGAGGGCCTCTCGGGTTGTAGGTCGTTACAGCCTGGACGCGAACGTTGCTTTCCAGAATGAGGAGGGAGTCAGTGCTCGTGACCATCAAGGGATTAGCAGACGGGAAGGCCTTTGAGAGAGGTTATAATGAAATGTTAACAATGTTTCAGGGGAGGGGGGGATGGGTTAGCCTGGTGATGGGTATTAAAGAGGGCACATTCTGCGTGGAGCCCTGGGTCTTTACGCAAAAACAATGAATCATGGACCACTACATCAAAAACTAATGATGTATGGTGATTAGCATAACAATAAAAAATTAAAAAAGAAATGTTACAGTGTTTCATATACGAAATGAGATGTTAATAATGAAAACAGGTCTGAGCCAGCAACGTCTGGGCGCATGTTCTTTCATGGACTGTGGTCCTTAGGCAAACTTTAACCTTCAGTCCTTGGCTGGTTTGTTCATGGAATGCAAGTGGGAATGCCTGCCTCCCAGAATTGTTGGCAAGGTTGAGTGAGAACTCCTGGCATGTGGTCAGCTTCCACGGTCTGCCCCTTACCTGGCACCTCATGCCGGCCTCGGAGGCCACTGCGTGCTGCATTTAAGTTAGCAGAGGGGCTCCGGACGGGTTATTTTAGCAGGTTTTTGTATTGTTGTTAATGTAGAGTTTTGCTATTAGCTCAGTCTTTTGGTAATTCTCACAGATTTCAAAATAGGAAGAGGGTGAGGTAGAGGACTTTGGAATATGAAGCAGTTTGTAGAGTATAAGACATTTAAATTATAGCAATGTATTTTAAGGATTGTTGATGACTCTGCATTCTGATACTGGTTCTTTTTTTTTTTTCTTTTGGACAACCAAGCTTGATGACCTGACACAGGACCTGACTGTGTCCCAGCTCAGTGATGTTGCGGATTATCTGGAAGATGTTGCATAGATGTGAAAGAAGGAAGTCTTCTAATCAACAAAGGACAAAGGACTCTGATCAGTTCCATTTTTTTTTTTTCCAATCTTTCTTTGCTGGAATGTCTGCTCCCTGTTGGTGCCTTGTGTTTCAAAAAGACTGCAGATATTTTTTAAAAAATTTAAGTTTTCATTATACTAAACAAAAGCTTCCTACTTGAGCCCATGTGTGGAAGATACAATATTCTTAATTTAGTTTGGCTACACATTTCTCTGTGGAAGTTGATTATCTACAACTCAAATTCATTACAAGGAGTGAACCCATGAAAATATGCGTATTAAGAGCTAACTGAAAGGTGTCAATAAAGCTGTAGGTTCACACAGCTCTGTGTGTGTGTGTGGCTTTAGCCATCCAGACTCCAAGCGCATTTATTAGGCGGTTGTGCAGAGAGTTGGCAAAGTGGCCTGAAGCTTATCACCGAAAGATTTGATATGTCAGCTTTATTTTGTATTTCCTTCCATGTGGAAGGGTTGTTAGGCCAGTAAGCTTTTATTAAATACTCCTGTGTGTGCTAGTATTGCTTGTTTTGAGGAAATCTGGAGGTCGTTTTGACTTCTAATCCACGAATTGTCGCTGCCCGCAACCGTTGCCTCCCGTCCTTAGGAGAAGCTGTTGGTCACAGGCTCTCGTCTTTATTGTTGTAATTTATTGTGTGTAAAGATGCCTGGAAACATACTTGATACCAGAATGCATCTGAAGCCACCAAGCAGTGCTTTTATTTCCAGTCTGTAAATTGATTGTATTAAAATCCAAATTGGACTGTCACAGTAGTAGTGGCCTCAGACCACACGCGGAGTGCTGGGCTTTGTGCGCTGTCCGTATTTCCTTGCGTCCCGTCCGGATGGAGCCGGTGCTGGGCCTCGGGCAGCCTCGCTCCCTCTGCCCGCGCTGTGCTGCTGTCCCGGGGCGGGGGCGGGGGGTCGCTGGCCTGCACTGCTGGGGGTGCCGCGTGTGTGTTCCCAGGACTGTAAGTGAAGCTGTGAGCGTGTGCTACATTTTGTACTTTTTTATTTGAATTAAATTATGTTTTTTTATTAAAAGTCACCTTTATTAATAAAGAGTAAGCTAGACCTACTTGACTGATTGAGTAAGTGAGCGGACTTCGTCACTCCCGTAGTGCCAGTTTTTCATATCTGCCTCAGTGTTACAGAAGTCTTTGCCGGGCCCTCGTATGTGAAGGCAGCCATAACGAAAGGGTTGCGATTATATAACATGGCAGTGTGATTGTGTAACATCTGTGAACCTGAGCCACGAACACCCAGAGGAAGTCAGACTGAAAGTGGGCCAGCGCGACCTGGGAGCCGCTCTGTGGGCCTGCCCTCGCTTTGTGGGCTCTGACCTCAGTCCTGGTGGCGTGCCGTGTCCTGTGTGAGTACACAGCGCTGTGTGGAGATGTAATCTGTTGCTAAAAGTCCCCCAGTGTGCTTGTAAAATGCATTTCCCTAGATGTCCTCTCTGTAAACAGTCGCTTTCTATAAAGCGTTGCGTTCTGCTCTGGGTCTCTGGAATCTGTGTCAACTGTGTGACTTATTTTTTATATTATCTGAAAGGAGCTAGATTTCAGTGAAATGATTGGAAAGGAGAGCAGGAGGTGGCTTTTTAAATTTATGGAAAACTTTGAACAGCAGCATCTGAAATTTGTCATTTTTGTGTTACCCAGAGAATCTGACCTTTTGAGGACATCTGGGAGGATGGGCAGGAAGGGCCAAACATGGAGCCGCCTCCATCACCGGCCATGTACCTAGTGAGGAGAAGTTCCATTTCCACATGTGTATCTCAGCTAGGTTTTGAGTGTGTGACTAGTATTTTCTTTTTGTTCGGAAATAGATTTTGACATACTCATCCACGAAACACATTTTCATGGTAAAACCTGAATTTTACAGTGGAATTTTTCAAGTGTGAGGTGTCATTTTATTGATGATAACTCAAAGGGAATAAAAAGCTTTTACTCTCTCCTGTCTGTGTCCCTGCCCCCGTTGTATCTTGTGTGTGATGGTAACACCGTAGCCCGGTGTGGGCCTGCCCACACGGTCACTGTCCCCGTCGCCCGCCGGCTCCCTGGGCCCGCACAGAACCAGCATGTGCCACATGCTACCAAGGTGGGACCTGTCTTGGAATGTTCGCATCTGTCCCTCCTTGTGCGTGGAGCCCTTCTCCAAGAACCGCCAGACTGGCTTGTTTCCCTCTTGTTCTCGGAGATGCTCCAGCCTGAGGGGATGCCTGTTTTCCTTCCCACTCTGTCTGTCACGTTCACCCCGTGTTTTTACTCCTCTCGTCACTGACACGGGCCTGTTTACTGTCATAAGCTCCATAGGGACTGTAGCCACCTAGGTATGTCCTTGGCACCTGGAATAGCATCTGGCCCCAGTGCGCACCCAGGAAGGATCTGTGGGCGCACAGACAGGCTCTGCATGTGCTGGCAAGGGTGTCCGAGAAAGGTTTCTGTCTGGGCAGCTGCCTTCTCAGGACAGCGTTCCACAGTTGAGATCAGCCATCCTGACTCTGAGCTTGGAGAGGCCTCCAAGCTTCCAGTCTGACAGGTAGGTTCATGGTTCAGCTAAGGCCATTGGATGGAACCAAAGCTAATGAACATTCTCCCAAAGGCAGCAGGCAGTGGTCCTGTCCGTGGCTCTGCGTGGCTGTCGGCCCAGGGAGCAGCAGAGGGGGCTCACGGTAGCTGGACTGCCAGCCCCACCGGACACCCATGATGGTGGCGAGGAGACGTGGCTTCTGCAGAAAGCACCGCCCCGCGAGTCCGATGCAAGTCCTGGTCGGTGTGGTCGGCCCGGCCCTCCTGACGCGGGCGTGTGGCCAGCCTCTGTGCGAGGAAGGGGCCCTTCGGGAAAGCCACGCAGAGACGACCAGGCAGCTCCCCGTGTGACTCACCCGCGCCGCTTCCCCACGGAAGAGAGTGAACGGCGTGCTGCCGAAGGCTGACGTGCACACACGCAGCAGCCTCTGTTGGGAGAGACCGTTCAGAGCACAGAATGATCAGACAAAAACCCAACTATCCTGTTGGAGAATTGAGAGAACTTTTGTACCTAAAAGAGGCCACTTTGAAAAGCTGATTGATGAGAAAATAGGCTGGGTCCTCCGGTAGAAGGGCTGGGTTGCAGGGTGCCCCGCACCTGCACTGATGCCTCCGGGACGGGGCTCCACGAGCCGGGGCCCCGAGAGCAGAGAAGGTGTGTGTGATGTGGGGACGGTGGGGGTGGCGGGGCTGGGAGCTGCAGCGGCCGAGACGGGAGCCCCACGGGCCCGGAGCAGGCTGCACACGCCCTCACGTGCAGCTTCTTGCCTGCGGAGCTGGTGCGTCCTGGTGAAATTGGGTGATTCTTAGTGTAAAAAACGACTTCCAAGATTCCTTGACAGGGTTGAGCATGAGGTTGCCTGCACCGGATGCTGCACATGATGCCAGGACTACAGGGTTAGCAGGGGAAGTGATTTTTGAACACAGGATTTCTATCCTGATGGAAAAGGAACCCTCCTGCCAACCAGGAATGAATCCCAAAGCAAGGTCAGGGGCCTGGCATCTCCCGCATCATCAGGGTGTGCTGCATTGCTGTGGTTCACGGCTGCCGCTTGGAGCCTGGCCATGCCCCGGCCATGGCTCTCCCTGCGCGGACCACCTGGCGCAGTGCCCCTCACACCCCAGTGCCTCCCAGGAATCAGAAGACCATGCGGGGAGGGCGGGAAGAGCTGGGTCCAGGGGATTCCACAGGGCAGCACAGATCGGGAGCAGGAAGCAGGCAGAGCAACAAGGTGAAGGGGTCTACATGAGGGCTGGTACCATGGTCACTTTTGATATTCTAACTTGAGTTGTTTTTAGCAACTTATGCAATCTTCAGATTAGGCAAAATCATTTCCCCCACTAATGTGCAATTTTCAAACATTGATAGTTGCAATAAAAGCCGATTTGGCCTTATAAGTTGCCAGGTATTGGCTATCAATTTTCTTCATACTTATTTTCTTTTGAATCCTTGAAGTTTGTGAAACTGAATGGTAGCTCTTTTGAAATGAAGATTTTTGGTGAATAAGCCCCCTTCCCCTTTACAGTAATCAGCATTTCTCTTGCTGCTCTCTCAATCCATGTGGGATGTGGTTTTGGATCTTCTCTGACTTCTATTTTAAATTTTGATACAAGGGCACCTGAGTGGCTCAGTCGTTAAGCGTCTGCCTTCGGCTCAGGTCATGATCCCAGGGTCCTGGGATCGAGCCCCGCATCGGGCTCCCTGCTCCGCGGGAAGCCTGCTTCTCCCTCTCCCACTCCCCCTGCTTGTGTTCCCTCTCTCGCTGTGTCTCTCTCTGTCGAATAAATAAATAAAATCTTTAAAAAAAATAAATTTTGATACAGAGAATGATACTCTGTGCCAGCATACCAAATCTTGAACCTCGATGCCACGTGTTTCTTCAGACCCTCATACACACGGTTGCCCCTGCTTTGGATGCACCACCTTCGCCCACCTCTCCCATCTCACACACACCTGGGCAATACCTGCGGGGTCTTCCGGGGCCTACGGTGGAGAAAGCACATATTCTCTCTTCCCTGGGTGCGCCAGGCACTTGTCACCTGTTTGCTTTTACTCCCTGAACACCCCGTCGTGGGGGAAATCTCACCAACAGCTGTTTTCCAGAGGTGGAGGGTGCTGGGCGCACACCTGCACCACAGGATGCCCTGGTGTGGCCCGCAGTGATGGGGACCTGGGGAATATCTGTGCACCTGTGCACTGAGGGCTGGAGTAGAGAGAGTGGAGTGCTGCCTGCTGGGCTGCTTGGAAACCGGCCAGACAGAAGAAGCAACTTGGACCGTCCAGGAGGAGTAGAAGAGCTTCCTACAGAACTAGCAGCACCATGATGTTTGACGTGCTCTTTGAATTCGGCACCCGGAAACACTGGTGGCGGGTGGGGTCTGCCCAGGACCGCAGAATCACACGGAATGAGCAGAGGGCGCTTGTGAGAAGCAAGGGTGTCACCCAGCAGGGAAGTGCCGTGTGGGGGGCGCAGCCGTGGGGGGCGGGACAGTTGAGCGGGGCCACTGGAAGCCAGGAGTCTCTGCGGGCTCCTCTGCGGGGGTAAATACTGCGCACCGCTCGGGCTCCTGCTGCATTGAGGAGCTCGTGCTCGTAGGGCAGGTACCACCGTCGTGGGCAAATACGAGCTCAGTCAGTAGTAACCGTTTTCACTCGGGCCAGCATCCTAGGCCTTAGCGGTACTTGGATGTGGAGGAAAGGAGAAGAGAGAGGGCCTTGGGGGGTCGCTCCGCTTCTGAGGAATTGCCGTTCCTCTTCCGAGGCCTGATGCCCACGTCGCTTCCCCTCGCCAGGTCCGCCCCCAGAGTGATGCGCTGGTGAGCCCACTTCCTCCTGTCCCTGCCAGCGGCCTCCGAACTGGGACTCCACTGTCCCTGGAGGGGACTATGGGTATAGTATCGACAGGAAAACCACCAGAGCAGTTACAAAAATGCATGTATGCCATAAAAACTTATATTCTTAACTATGATTTTAGCTCCCCCAAATGCACTGTAGTTCTATCCTCAAGACGAAAGAAGAACAAACAAGTCTTAGTGGTAGTACATTGTGGACTGAGCTGGGGATGGGCTCCAGTTTCCACTTACTTGTGCTGCTAGGGATCTCTGTGATAAAATGTGAGAAATTATCCTGACATTAATCATAACAGAGTGTTTTTCAGATTATACCAGAAATAATAATTCATGAATTAAATTCTGAATACAAATAATGAATAGGCTCTTGTGGTATTTGATAATCTAATTAATGAGAGGAGAGCATCACATAAACATGAAAAATATTTAAACTTATTGCTGATTTGATACAATATCGGTAAACTTAATAAAAGCCTAGAATATGCCATTACGTAGAGGACATTGATGACAAACTGGGGAATGAAGATCATTAAAAGAGCATTTGTATTGTTACAATGTCACTAGTTACTGAGGAAATTTGAAATGCTGTAAATCCCACACTCATGCGAAGAAGAATATTCCAAAATTTGACAATTCTAAAACTTTCATGTCCTCTTCAAAATTATATATCAGCAACTGAAAAACCATTCTAATCAATCAGTCTAGAGTAAAATTAACTCCATAGAGAGATTTTAAAAAGTCATTCTGATATGAAGAGGAGGGTATCAAAGACTACACCATTAAAACAACATAGGAAGAATGAATTGTGAAGAAGATAATGTCAGGCACTCTCATCCTTTCTCATGGCCGTGTGGTGAGGGTCCAACTGACGTCAACTTACCCATCATGGGGTCTATGTTGTAGGTGAGGAACCCAAACAATATGAAGCTGGGCGCGTATTTACGTATTGTTCCTCTCCTCTCTCTCCAGGAGGGGAGAGCCCTTGGACGTCCCTGTGAAATGTAAGCACAGACCACGAGAGAGGGGAGTCTGTCTCTCCAGTAGCTTGTAAGGCTTGTCCTTTGTCCCAGGTCCCAGTAAAATTTTTTCAGAAAGCTCTAACCGTGCAGAAATATAAAAACACTTTCTCTGCAAGCCTGGTTACTGGGCATGACTCACCAGAGAACAAACTGGCAAGCGGCGAGCAGAAATAGCTGAGACAAACTGCAGGGCCGGGAGAAGGTTGGGCAGTGTTACAGGCCGGCACGCAGCTCATCCCTCTTTCCAGTCATTAGCAGCTTTCTTGAGCTGTAAGTCATGCTCCATACCGTTTACCCATGTGAAGTGTATAAGTCAACAGTTTTTAGTATATTCACAGACTTGTGCCACCATCACCACAATCCATTTTGAAAGATTATCATCACCCAAAAAGGCACCCCATCCCCGTTAGCAGTCCCTGCCTGTCCCCTCCCCAGACAACCACTTCCTGTCTCTGTAAAGTCGCCAGCTCTGGACATCTCTTCTAGACGGAATTGTATAATACATTGTTTTGCCTCTGTGACCGGCCTCTTTCCCGGGGTATCATGTTTTCACG